TCTGGAGAACATGTTAAGGAGAGCCTAAGGAGCTGAATTTATTTAGTATGGAGAAGGCTGAGGGTTCTACCTGCCATCTTCTACCACCTTAAGGTGATTATAGAGAAAATGAATGCAGATGCTTTTCAGGGGTGTGCAGTGCAAGAACAAGAGTCACTTGTCACAAGTTGCTAAGGAAAATCCAGTTGTAAATGAAGAAAACTGTTGACCAGTAGTTTGTTGGAACAGATTGCTTGGAGGATTTATGGAATCTTCTATCCTTGTAGATGTTTCAAACTTGGTAAGGTCCAAAGCAACATATGCCACAACGTTAGACCTGCTGTGTGCAGGAGGTTGAACGGGGTGACCTTCAGAAGTCCCTTCAGACCTGAGTTTTTGTTTGAGTCTGTGATGGTCCCTGAGAACAGTAACATCCCCACAAATAAATGGTCTGGATAAGGAGGCTCTTACTATCTTGTGTTTCATTGATAGAGCCTTTGTGGGGAGAGATCAGCAAAATAGCTTTCAAATGTGAATGCCACCCCTTTCTCAGGGAGGAGTTTTTCAGGGAATACATGATAAACAAGGTGAAAAAGCAAGTAGGTGATATATTTGTCATCAGTTGATGGTCATCTGGCAGGGTTAGTCGGTGATAGATCTGCCTCTGTAGTCAAGGCAATAAATAATTTCTTTTCATGAATGAGACATAGTAAAAATAAAGAGCAATTGGGAGCAGTACATAGAGTATGAAAAAGATTGCACTGGCAAAATATCTTAAGTTTGTCTGAGCCTGTTGCATGTTGTAGTTGAGAAGTAATATGCTTTGACCCCTTTTCAGAAGCAAGGTTAAAGATGGAACACTCAGGGAACAAATGGATTACAACACACTTTCTTTCCTCCACCTTCCCAGTATGTCAGTCTTGGCAGTGCTGTTTTTTCTGTCATGTGACCTAACATAAGCAACAAATCTAGCACTCTTCTAGCAGTCTAGGTTGTAACAGTAGATTGCCACTGCTCTCTTTACAATCCTTGATAGCTGTGGCCTAATTGTTTGTCCTGTCTATTTTCTGTCTTTTTAATTGATCTGAATGAGCAGTCAATGTCAGAAAACCTGGTGGAAAAATAGTGGGTTTTTTTCTCTTTTGGCACTGTTTTTAGTATTAGTATATATATAAAGAAAGCAGAGGTAAAGTTCATTACTGACAACTGTATCTAATGCACAGTTTTGTATCTTCTCCCTCAGCATACCCTACATCCATATCCCTTTCTGTTATGACCTGTTCACTGGCTTCTGTCGATCTTGTAATTATTCTCCTTTATCATCCCCTACTCAGTAATGTCTCCTTTTCTTCAAAAAAAATCAGCATATTTCTGGTTACAGAAGAAGAGCAAAACTTGTCAAACTAAGAGTGTTTCTGCTCAGATGCATTCTCTCTTTTTTTGGTAGTACCCCTCTACCTCTTGCCTTCAAAACTAAAAATCAATGTGTCTGGCTTCTGGTTATCCTTTTTGTTGAGAACAAACACAGCAGAACGTAAAATCCTTCCATAAAGTTTTTGTTGATTGTGTAAAAGCCTACGCAACCAGTTCATTGTATTTCAAACTGTCTTTATCTCTTCTCAGACTGACATCTTGAATTTTGGTCCTGTTAGTTAATAATCTTATTTGTATTCTGTTTTATTTTTATTCTTTTGTTGGGGTTTTTTTGTTGCATGGTGGGGTTTGGGTTTTTTTTTTTAAAGATCAGGTTACTGATAGAAACCTCTTCTCCATGCAGAGTGGAAGAATGGGAAGATGTTGGAGGCTAATTAACATTTGAATTATTAACTTAGGCCTCTTTTAAGAATTGACTAAATTGTAAAAAGGTATCATTAGATTAGAGGAAAGTTGTGGTCAGATGACCTGGTCTGGAGATACAGAACATTATTACTTCTAATTATGCTCTGTTTCTCTTTAATGATCTTTCTTAGTGCTGTCTATATTTACACCCCACCCCCAGTCTACCAGTACAACTGCATATGTAATTGCTATCAGTCTCCTAACAAAATCATCTGGGTTTAAGTTGACAGGAATAGTTTAGACAGTGACTGTATCTGCAGTTTTGCAAGCAGATTTCAAGGGGCAGTGGTCTGGGTGGGAGGGGGAATGGGAGGTGATGTTACGAGCCCCAGTGGTCCATAACGTGCTGTACTTGGCTCAGGTACAGTCAAAAGCTTATCTGACTCTAGGCTGTATGTCGGCCTGGGGAAAACTGGTAGAGGTTAGCTATTGCGCTTCCAGTTCCCAGTCTATATAGGATTCATGTCTTTCCTGTATGGATGAGACATTAGACATTAAAAATGCCTTTTTTGTTGTTTTGAACACACTATATGTGTGCTTAATCTAGAAAACAGGTTTTCTAGGTCAAAGAATTATTCTAAGACTAAGCATTAGCTTTAATTATGATCTACTTAGTCCTGTACTGTACAGAGGCTAAAGTGTCTGTAGTAATCTCTTATCTCTTGTGGTATCTGTGCCGGGGTTGTTTTATGTTATAGCAGGTCTTCCATTCAGATTGGAGGTAGAAAGATTTAGTAGCTATTACCTACATTAGACTACAGTTCTTAAATCTGTTTTGCTCTGTGCTGAGTCTTATGCCAAGATCTGTACCTATGCAGGGATTTGAGCTTCTAGCTTCCCTTAAACTTCAACACCAGCTATGCACATAAATGTTCCTAATGAAATGCAATTTGTGTTCCCTTAGATCCAGAACTGTCCAAGTGACAGTATTACAAATGTGCTCAGCTTGGTACAACTCTTAGTTATGGTCAGTCTTTGATGTATACTTGTTTTGAAGGAAGCTATGCAATATTGCCTGTACACAGCATATATGTTACATCTGTGAGCAGTAAAGTCTTACAGGTATTCCTCTCATAAAGGGTGAAAAGTGATTAAAATATTTTGATCACTGATCTTCCACTGCTCAGCTAGAGACAGAACAGCACTACTAGAGGGGAAAAGCCTATGTAGAAAAGGTCTAATATATTAAACAGATTATAAAAGTTGTTTTGTTTTTTTCTCTGCTAGACCCTGAAGCCTGCTTTAATTTGGAGGCTTTTAGCCTTGAGGTCAAGTCATCTTTACTCTTGCCTAGAACTGTACAACACTGCTTCCTCACTAACCCTTTCTTTTGTATTACAGAAGGAAGTTTTGCTGCTCACATCGAAGGAATGTGTAGTTGGTTTGTCTGTAGGGTATCTGTGTTGTATTCCTTGAGCTGCTGTGAAATGCCATTGCCAGAGTCCATAGCTCCAAATTAGTGTGAGGGCTTCTCACCTCTTTTGGATGTAATAACAGCTATTAGAGTCTGTAACAAAAAAAATTTAAGAAAAAAATTTCCTCCCTACTTTGTTTCTTAGGGAGATTTATTCCCTCCCCCTTCTTTTTTTCTATAAGGAAATAGCTAGGTGGATGAGCTAAAATACTGGAATTTCTCTTCTTTCATCCACTCAAGCTCTGCTTTTTAAAAGCCCTGATGGAATACCTAGTTTGGCAGTCATGATCCAACTTTGCTTATCATTTGCCATTGTCTAATGTAGGATAGAATTATAAGCTTCCTATTTGTTAACTGATTTCCTTTTGAACTGTTGTCTTATGTTGCAGATTAAACCACTACTGCCAACTGTAACACTGCCTGAGCAGTAAATGAAACTACTCTTGTATGTCTAATGCTGTGAGGATTTGTAATCTGTACTTTTTTCCAGTAAAACTGTAAGTTGCGAGTGTTTCAGTATGCAGCTTGCCATTAGCTGCATGAAATTGTAGTTTAAGAGAATTTACTGGAAAAATCCTTAGAATGAGCAGTATAGGGACAACGGAAAAAGTCTTTGGACTATTAAAATGTACACTGTCAGATTTGAAATTAAAAATGTATCTATTTGCTATGAAGCCCTTCTCAAGACTTTTCACAACAGTGACATTGGGAATCCAGTGTGAGGAACTAAGCACCATCCAGACAAAAGGAAATCTGCCAGTTTCCACTGCAGTTTGTTTATTTAACAACCTGTGCCTGTGAGGAAAGTAATGGATTTATGAGTTCATGTTTTCCAGCAAACTCCTGTCTTGGGGATAGGGGGAAGATGATTTGCACTCTTGCCAGAAGAGTCTTTGCCCACAAATATGATTTTGTCAAATGCCTAGTACAGCTTTCTTGTGTACTATTTATAGTTCTCTTCTCTGTGCTGTGTAAGAGTGATTCCATATTCACTCATGCAATTCTTACTGGTTAAAAAAGTAGAGAATTAAACAAGCAAGGACCTTTTCTTTTTACGGCACTGTTCACTTCTGGATGCTTTTGTTCTTTTTTAAAGAGGAATAAAAGCTACAGAGACCATACAGACTGCATGAAGAGCTTGTCAAAAGACCAAAAATAGGCAAATGGGTAATTTAAGCTGGTATATTCCAAGTAATTATGGTCTCTTGAATTGATGTGGTTATAGAGTAATGGAGATCATTATTCAAAAAAGGATTCAGATATAGCTGTAGGATACTTTATATAAATAAAGGTATTTAAAGCACTTTATATACCACTGAGATATTTTAAGGCAATAAAGAAAATCACACCTCCAGTAGAAAATGTTTACTTTTGTACCAACTAGACTGCCTGTGGTAGGCCAGATGAAGTCACTGCACAAAGCAGTTGTAAAGAGAATCCAGTGGAAAGCTTTTTAGCCCTGTCATGATGATAGTGACAGAATAAATAACCTTACCATAAAAGTTCCTATGAAAAAGAGGCTTTCAGTTTTTCTCAGGATGGGGAGAAGTGGTGCTGTGGAGAATAGTTCAGATGTCTAATTTCATTGAAATTAAGAATGCAGTTGTATTTCTTCATTTCAGTATTGAAGATTTTATGTGAAAAAAAGATTGTAATTACTGTTTTAAGGTTTGAAGCTTTCTTGTCACAGTAAAAAGGATATATATTTTGTTAAATGACATGACTGATTAGAACTCAGGAAGCTAAAGTAAGACCGTGTCTGTAATAGGTACTTCAAGTGACTTCAAGTACGGACTGCTGCCGAGTACTTCAAGTGACTTCAAGTACGGACTGCTGCCGGGTGCTTCAAGTGACTTCAAGTACGGACTGCTGCCGGGTGCTTCAAGTGACTTCAAGTACGGACTGCTGCCAGAATCTTGGACAAAAGAAGCCTGGGAAAATGGCAAGTATATCTGATGGTTGTTTTTTGCCTCTGATAGGGGTTCTTTATCTTCTGTGTTGCTGCTGGTAGTATTTGATTAATTTGTTTAGAGATTTATAAGATTAAGTGTTTACATAATCTTCTTCCATACTATTTGCTTTTCTGGGTAATGTAAATAGGAGTACTTCCTTAGAGGGAGAAAAAGGAATTCAAGTATATGGAAAAGTGAAAACAGAACATGATATATATCAGCTTTTGTATTGTGCCTGAATATGAAGATACCCAAGGTCTTTAATGATAGCTTTTTTTCCTACCCCCTTAGTAAGCTAACTACAGATAAATGGGCTTTGAAGTTGAACACTTGGATGTTGAACATAGAGTTAAATATAATTTTAAAAGTAGATCTCAGAGCATTCTTTTTGCTGTTAAAAGCTTAATTGCAATAAAGATTTTGAATTTAGTGCAGCCATAACTAAAGCCCTCTTCAATCAAACCTGTGTTATATAACTTACCCTTTCACAGCTTATGTGCCTTTCTTAATACAAGTGAGCAATTATCTGTAATTATTTTTCTGTCTGAAAACATACCAAAAAAACCCACCACATCTAAAATAATTATTGTTAGACCTTTAAACTACATAAAGTCTTCAGTTAAAAGAAGATCTTAAGGACTGGGTAAGAGTAATGCCTACCTCTTCTCTGTAACTTTGAGCTATTAGTGGGATGTGGTTTATGGTTTACTTTAAATATTTTTTTTTATAGTGGAGAAATGGGGTCATCAGAAGGTGAAATTTACTAGCAGGCAAGGGATTAGAACTTTAGTCTTACAAGGTCTGCTTGTTCTGAAACCATTAAATTTCCATATATTTTACAGACCTGATGTCTGTCTGTCTGTCACACCCCCTGTTGATGTGTATAAGACTGCAATATAAAACCTTTTTTGAACTTATTTTTCTTCCTGTAAGCTATGTGACATTATGTGACATGCAGCTTGCATGAGTGCTCTGATATACCAAGGCAAACTTTTGAGTATTAGCAAAATCTAGCTTCCATGTTATGATGGATTTTGAAGCTGGGAGGAGGCATCTTAGATGTAGGCATGCAGGCTCATGCACATAATAGAAAATTACTTTTACTCTCTCCCTGCCAGCATGAACATTAGCAACTCTTAAATGTGTAATGATGTAGCCTTAGACACTGCTTTTTGGATGCTTCTAGATGGTTACAATCATGTTCATAAATTTACCTGTAATAAGTTGAGTCAGTACCCTAATCTCAAAATAATCATTGTATTCCTGTGTGGCCTCCTTCACAGCTGTCACAGCAGCCAGTGCTTTTCTATTTCACACAGTAATAGGCAGCTGTAGTAAAACTGTTCTGCATGTATCCTTTGAGCAAACTACATTATCCTTGGTTGAAGGATATGTAAATAGCTCTCTTCCATCATAAGGAAGAAGTGGGATATTGCTATTTTCTGAAGTTTTTTCTGCTATTTTCAGAAGGCTTTTCTGCTATTTTTTTTCCCTCTACTGTTAGACCAAAATAGACTTTGGGTAGAGAATAGCTAAAATCTGAACCACTGACTTCCCTTTTTAGCTATTTCAGAATTATGCTACCTCTTACTGTCCTTTTCCTTTTGTCAATATTTGTTCTTGCTTAGTTATACTTTCGTTTTTATTTATCTGTAGAGTCAGATCTTGGCAGACAGTTCCTACATATAATTCTAAACAGAATTTTGGGAGAGAAGATCGTAACTGTCTAAATGCCGCAGAGCTAGAGGGTTTTTAATCCAGAATAAAGTGTTTTCTGGTATAGGTGACCTCTAAAAAATGTGATACTGCTAACTTGTAGCTAACTGACTCAGATTCATGAAATAAGTCTTATTTTCAAATGATTGATCTGTGTCTCTGTAGTAAAAATTCCTTGGTTACAAATAGGTATTTTTCTAGTAAGATCATACATGCAGAACCTACCAGTATTTGTGGTTTCTGCAGACAGGGATTGTCCTGATTTGGCTGATGAAAAGTCATGTGGGTGTTTTATAGTTTTGGCACCTGTTTATTTTTGTGCACCAGGCAAAACATATTGAAATAGGTTTTTTTGTATTTCATCATTTTTTTTTCTCCTGATGGCTTATTATCTTGTAGGCGATTCCTCTGCTTTAATCATGAACAAGTTGAAGTGTCCACACTGTAATTATGTAGCCAAATACAGAAGAACACTAAAGAGACACTTGCTCATTCACACAGGCGTGAGATCTTTCAGTTGTGACATCTGTGGGAAGCTGTTTACTCGAAGAGAGCATGTAAAGAGACATTCCTTGGTAGGTAACCTCGGGGGGGGGGTGTGTGTGTACATATGCAGATGGTTTTTTCAGATGTTTTGGTAGTTGGGAGAAATGCTGTTCTCTGATTTGCCATAATGTAAATTGCTTTATCTTAGTCTAAAACGAATTAAAATAAACATATCTTTGTGATAACTATACCTCTTATCCTTAATGGAAAATGTAATACCAATTAAGACAGTCGCTGGAATTCTGATAGCGATAATTTCAAGATTATTTTGAAAGTGATGTGATAGAGATGCGGTATATGTATGAAAGGGAATTTTGACTTAGTGTTGCTGCAGTAAAATAGCACATCATCTTGTTCTATAATGGTGCAGCACCATTTTCTGTTAGGATACCTTGTTAATCAGCAATTGCACAACATCTTGAGGTAGTTCCAAAATATTTATTTCAGAACTAAACAGACCTATAGTAAGGTATCTGCTTTAAGATTTAGGAAAGAGTGAAGAGTACCTAAGATGCAGAAAATGAGCGTACTTCTGACTTGCAATCTACCAATACCATAATCAGTAGTTGAGCTTACCTGTCCTGTGCACGTTGCATAACTCAGGATTTGACTTGAGTGCTGTTTATCCAGAGACAATATTATCTGACTTGGTTGTTTTGTAGGTACTTTGCATCTAGTCTATAAGACTTCATTATAATATCTACTGTCTAAAATCCAATAAAAGCATGATCATATTGGTGGTGGGAAAGTAATACCATTTCTCTAAGCTTTTAAAAAACCCATTTTGCGACATGTTTTGCAGATACTCAAAATAGGTTAGTACATGGAATGGGGTAAATTGCACTTACCCATTTGGGTAGCTTTCCTCAGTCCTTAGAGAATCAGCGGACCACCTTGCTCCCTCATGGAGGTTTTCTCTAAGACTCTATAGCTTCCTTGCAGTTGGCTTTTTGTTCCTCAGTAAGTAGAAGTGGTTGTGAGCTTCCAAGTTTTAATGCAAATGCAGAAAAGAGCTTTTGGTGTAGGTCTTCCTTTCCTCTCTAGCTTGTGCTATCATGTAATAGAGCAAGTAGTATTATTAAAAGAAAATAATAATCTGAGTCATATCAGAATATAATGCTAGAAGATATTTATAAGACCACTGTAGTAATTTCAAATATTCCTTAAACTGCTCCACAGGTAGGAAAGGCATATGTTAATAGCTTCTACGTAAATTTTAGAATTAGCATCTTTCTTATGTTCCACTGGACTCCTCTAATCATAGATATACATCTTTCTACCCTACTACTGCTGCGTTTCATCCTCCTCCCATACCACCTGCTGAAGGTTTAGATGCCTGAAGGGACAGGAGTACCTATGATACCGAGTCTGAAAGGACATTTTTTTCTGTAGTGTATGTAGGTGACAGCAGTGATGGAGGTGGTGATGGTATGGGGCAGCTCTGTGACTGGGTTGGTGAAGTTAGGTCATTATCACCTTGGTGGCTGGTGATACCAGCACATCACAGCACCTGCTCTGCTTCTTCTTTTGTGGCTCACCAGAGAAGATAACAACAGTGGGCAGTAGTTGGTCTACCAGGAAGAGTAGAGTGGGACTTCCAGTTTCTGTCCTGCATATCTGACCAGGTCTTGTAGCTGAAGACTTTTTTTTTTTTTTCCCCTCCAGGAGAGGAGGTGAAATCAGAGTGAAAATAGCTATAGAGTGAGCTGAGCCCAGCCCTGTGCCTGAACTGAAGCATGCTCTCCCTGATGGAGTCAGAACACTTTTCTTTTTCCTCTTCCCTGGCCCCCCCCCCTCCTTCAACAAACACCTCAAACATTCTGCTTTGTGGAAAACATTATCATAACAAGTCTATAGACTGAGGAAAAAACATGTAGTATCAACTGTACAGATTATACAGCAGGACTGAAGTAGCTAGTATCTTGACCTTGTTTTTTTTCCCCTCATCTGGGTGGTAATTTCTGTTTTATCTAAAATGGCAACTTTTTCAATGTGATCTCAAATGAGATATTTAAGCACATATTTGTAATCCGTTGTGGGAATGTCAGATAGAAGAAAGAAGTATTCAACTTAATTTTTCTCGAAGATTATAACTATTATACATGGTGGTTGAATTCAGTTACTTCTACAAGTAACATACAAATTCAAAATTTAAATTTATGTTTAGTCAAGTTAGTCAACAGCAGTCTTCTAATTTTACACACAAGCTTACTCTACATACAGGACAAAAATTCACCAAAGGGTCCTGGAAAGATGATGTTGAGTTTGGTTGTGTGGGAGGGAGGTGTCATGGAAGCAGAATCTTGCTCTTTGAATTCACACAGGATTTAATAACTCCTGCTTGTTCTTAATGTTTCTGGGATTTAAAATTGTAAATTCAATTTTCTAATGGGTTATGATCCTGTGTGCAACATAAGTGCTTACACTGTTCTCAGTGCCTTTCAGAGTCTTGTTCTGTACAGCGAGTAATCATAAAATGAACACTCACCTGCTTTCAGAACAGGCAGCTATTCAGCTACCTTCTGAACACTAAGCAGGTAGTTTGGTTGTGGGCAATAGCTCATGTAGTCAAAACGGACCTCTAGTAGTACTTCTCTTTCTGTGAACAGTGCTTGGGGTATCTTTCAGAAGAGTTAAAAAAAAATAATTTTTGTAGTAGTAATTATTGCTATTATTATTAATAGTTTTCTAGTACTATATGCAAATGCATCCTGATATGCATATTTCAGCTGTTAACATTTCTCTTCCACAGGTGCATAAAAAGGATAAAAAGTATAAATGTATGGTGTGTAAGAAGATTTTCATGCTAGCAGCCAGCGTTGGAATAAGACATGGATCACGACGTTATGGAGTTTGTGTAGACTGTGCAGATAAATCTCAACCTGGAGGGCAAGAGGGAGCAGACCAGGTGCAGGACACAGATTTCCCTAGGGATGAAGAATATGAGGAAAATGAAGTGGGAGAAGGTGATGAGGAGCTTGGTGATGATGTAGAAGAACAGAATGACCAGTCTCGATGGGATGAATCTGGGGAAGTTTGTATGCCTTTAGATGACTGACAGAGCATATGACTTCAGGGTGCCACAGATGGACACTATATGGATTGACTTTGAATTTTTGGACTGAAGGCTTGCAAAATATGGTACAGGCTGGATGGTAGTTATGTTGCTGTGAAAAATGTAGGGTCAAAGCCTTATAGCAAAAAAGGATTATTAATTTTTTTATGATATTTGCACAGGACTGTACAGCATACAACCATTTGGTTGAATTATACAGAGTCCTCACATCTACAGTCAGTTATCAAAAGAAAAATGTATTTTTTATTATTTATAGGATATAGCTACTTGGGTCCTATTCAGACATAGTAGTAACTGTACTTATGTTACACATTCATGTATCTGTTAACATGAATGAAGAAAATTAAAACTTGGTATGGAAATGCAAAGACAGCTTTCCCAAATGTACTCGTACTTTGTCAGTGAAACAGTGAAGCTAATTTGGGCTAGTGGCTCTTGTTTCCACAAGCATGTCTTTGCCATGCAAACCCTTACCTCTCCCGTACTCTTGATAGGTGAAAGCTAAACATTTAAATATGCATCGCAGATAATGCCAACACCGTATTGAAATTTGGTTTTAAAACTTTTGGCTCTATGCTGGCAGGTGGTATAGGTGATAAGCACTGGAGAAGTTAATAATGGCATTAATGTAGGGTCTGTTTCTTCGCAGTTTTGAATTGTCAAGAAGGTTGTTACTGATTGATCAGTTCCAAAATGATCCTGTAGAAGAAATGACCAATAATGAAAATAATGAACTGATCAGAGCATGGGTAACTCTTCTGCCACTTAGTCAAAAGAGATAGTCATGCTAAAGATACCTGATGTTACAATGTTTGCTCCCTTCTCTAAGGCCCCCCTCGTCAAACTTTTTGACTTCCCTGGTGTATACCTCAGTCCCACAGAATAAAAATACATGGAATGGAGAAAGTGTCATATTAAACAACTTTTTGGTTGATAATTTCTTACTTGTCCGGTTTTTGGCTAGTTTACGTGATGTGAATTGGACACTAGGCTATTGTGCCCATCGTTCGTCATTAAATGAACACAAACTATTTTTTATTCTTTTGTACTTAATGGGTTGTTGCTAGTGTTTAATATAAACCAATTACATTTGTTGACTTTAATTTGCTGGAATTGTTTTTAAAAAAAAACCAAACAAAAAGTCCAAAGCAAAATAATGCTGAGTTGTCTACTTTTCAGGATTATATGCTCCCTACGCTCTTAATTTCAAATTTTCTAGGAGGCATTGAAACTTGAATTTTTGTAGCCATGTGTATTTTTTTCCTAAGCTTGTAATATTGTACCAATGATTTCAGGCCTCTTTCATAGGGAGGGGAGGGCGTTACACCTTCATCTTAAACTCCTCTGTGTTGTCTAGCCTAAGGTAAATTAATTCAAGCAATCATTGGAACGATACATCTGATATACTATTATGTCACAACAAGTAAATATGCAGAGCATTTATCATGACACATAGCTAGGCCAGTGTGACAGTACTGTATAAAAATCAATTGAAGGTCACCATATTTTTCAGCTTTGTTTAATTTTAAAATGAGTATATTTTTTTCCTATTTTATATCAGGTAACTAAATTATGCTAGTTGTGTGGATAACTTTGAACTATGCTTTGACGGACAGAATCTTAATGGTGCTCCATCTGATCAAAGTTGGTATGTATTTAAAGAGACAAGCTTTACTGTTGTCCTTTACATCAGTAGAACAGTAACATAATGTTAAGACATTGGTTTTGCTGATTGAAGGTGAGATAAGTTTGAACTACAGTTATATGGGAATTAAAATGCTTTTTTTTATCGTCCACTTGTTTCATTGGTAGTTTCCACATCATTGTAAACCTGACAGATGATTAATTTTTTGGGGGGAGGGTGGGGTGGGTGGGATGCCTTTTTTACACTGAAGGATACATCATATTCTCATTGTTCTAGACTGAAATGAGTAATGTGTAATTCTGGTGGGGTCCAAAGTAGAAATTAGTTGGGCAAAGATGATATGAATGAAAAAGTATTTTAAACGTTAAAGTAATGTTCTGCTTTGTGAATATGTAAGTATAGCATAAAGATTTTTCCATCCCATTTATCCCCTTTAAAACCATAGTTTACAATTGGTAGATCTGTCTATATATAAATATATATATATATCTGAAATTCACCTAAATCTGCTTTATTAGAATACTGCTCACTTAATGCTTAGAAACTGGACCTGGCTCTACATTCTTAATGTATTTTCCTTTTTTTTTGTTTGTTTGGTTTTTTTGTTTTTTTTTTCTCAAGGTATGAATTTATTCTCTTGGAACTGAATCTTCTTTTACTACTTAATCATTTATGTATATCTGGTAACTTATGACCAAATTTGTTGTTAGACTGCATACAGTAAATTGAAATATACACTTGGTACACTACAGAATTGTTGTGCTTTTGTTCTGATTATATTTGGAAAAGCAGACTTTTAATAGAAATTAGTGTTATTTATAAATACTCAGTTATTATTCACTGGCCTTAATATTTTGTTGCATTGTGACAATCATCTTTTCCTTGGTAATACTTCACTGCTTGCTTTTAGAAGTTGCATGTAATTGCCCTTGGTAGGATTGGAGGGAGAGGGGTGACTATTAAAATGCGATACTAGCTTTTTAGCAAATAGTATGGAATAGTTCAATGGAGATCCACTGGTTTTGTGTTGGAGGACCAAAATAATTTGTTCATTTTCTGAGTTGTTTATTCATAAGTTTTTAACTATATTACTTTGATTGGGGAGCTCTAAATTAGTAAATGTAAATTTCCCAAGAATTACCTTAGAAGGGACAGCTCAAGTATCTATACTATTATAAAAAGTAGGAAGAGATTTCTGTTTGCACTAGAAATCATCATCTTAAGAAATGCTGGAGCTATGCTGTTGTAACATGGCTGTGAATTTTAGTTTGTCTGTTTCTGGGATTTTTGGGGGGTTTACCTTTTTAAAAAGAAGGAATAATGCTCTTAAACTGTCTTTCTTATCAAATTAAAAGATACCCAGTCTTTTATTTTGTCTTCTGATGAAATACTTCTCAAACCAAATGTCTTGAGACTTGCTTATCTGGGGCAATGTCACACAAGAGTGATTTTATGAAAAGAACCATGTATGTTATAAAACCCGACACACACAGAGTTCTGATGTTGGGATTGCCCCCTTTGTGTGAGTGTTTGTTTGCTTTCTAGTATCTTCAAGCAGTGGTGGTTATCTTTTAGAAATAAACGTACAGAGCATTTTCTTGCAGGGAACTGTGCAGGACAAAATCAAATCAATCGGTATATTCACTTTGATTAGGCGTCCCTGTCAAAGTAGGTGTGATCTAAGGAAGACAGGCAACATGAAATGCATTTGTGTTAGACCAATGTTACTACAGTGCAATAGCAAACATTTTCAATTGTCATGTCAGATGCATCTTGCAGGAAAAATAGCATTTTCTTGAATTGTGTAGAAAATTTTCATGGTTCAGTTTGCAGACAGATCTGATAAAACCATTTTCTGAAGTGAAACCAGTTTTGAAAGTCAGGGGAGATACTTGGTTGTCAAAACAATGTTGCACCCTAAGAAGCAGGAGTTGAAATTACTGGTCCCCATAGTATACACTGTTACTTTTTGAGATGCATATTTCAGGTATTACTACATGAAATGAGCAATATCAGGTGAAGAAGAGTTTGGGGCCAGGACACTAGCATGGGTAGGCTTCTAGTTGTGGGTCACAGCAGTAATGCTGTTAGAAGAAGATGATTTCTTTGCCTAGCTTTAAGTTGATAAGGCTTTTAATAGGATTTTCTTTAATGAGGCCAATCTCTGTGGCTTGCTTGCTTTTGTTTTGTTTCACTTGACTTTTCCTGTTCTTGCCACTCAGTACCACATCTCCTCCCATTCTAAAATATTTCTGTAGTCTGCTGACTCCATGCAGATGCAGAATTCACTTTGAAAGAGCTGTATTGTACTTTGTTGTGTTTAAATGGATTTGGAGATTAGTAAGAGAAATGAAAGCAAGAAAATTGACGCCACCAGCCTGAAAAACTTCTTGTGTTAGAAGAAAGTGAAAATGGAGCAAAATGTTGAACACAATGTGATAAGAAAAAGGCTTTTGGATTTGGGTTGTTACATGCAATTCATCTGGTTTGCAATTTGAATGTTTAGGATAATTCACTGTATTTCCCTCTAGCACAATTTGGTGACAACCTTCTGATGAAGAAAGTATACAAGAAGCCCAGTTCTGAGTTTATGCAAGTGTCTGCAGAACGTGGCTCAGGCTCTGGAGAGGTAGCACCGCTGCATAGTTTCCTGTAGATATTTTACCATATATCCTTCTGTTAGCATCCCTCTTCGCTATGTAATCTGTTACCCATTTTTTAATTTGATAAATGTTTGCTCCTTAGAACTGAGATTTGCCTTTTATATGTTTTAACAGCACATTACTGTGTTTCACAAACATTATTAAATATTGACACAATGGATAAAAACATGTAAGTTGGTTTTCATATAGTATCCTTTAACAAACCTGTAATAAAATGAATCTGTTGTAATAAAGAAAAGACAGGTTTGAATTCCAGGGGCGGAGGCATTGCTGAGCTGAACTCTTTGAGATGTTGAAGATCCCACATACACTTTGCTATGGGTTTTTAAAATACTTCTATGTGAAAGAAGGTAAAAATATACTAGAAAGATCCTGTGACTTAAGCTGGAAAATAAAATTGGCTTAGCAAGTACTTTGTATTTAACATTACTGCAATTTGAAGCAAACATTTAAAATAAGCTATGCATAATGTTTTGCTTACCTGAATTGATTTGGATTAGCCACTTGAAAATATGGACATCAGTAATTTCTCACTAACATATTGGTGTGTAAACATCATTTCAAGACTTACAATACTGTGTGCACCAGTCTTTAAGTTACCATGCTGCCAATAAATTTAAAAAATAACTGTTTAATTCTATCTATTTTTATCTGTGCCCTGCCTCTTCACCCTCCACAAGTAGATGCAGAGAGGTTTCTTCGGATGGCTAAGTGTTAACCTACAGTTATTTGCAGCAAATGACTTAATTTCTGCTCCTGACATAAATTATATTTTCTATAAATTCTATTCTATTTTAAGGTTGTATTTTAAACTTTGCTCATAATAAGGCAGATCACTTTAAGGTAGCTAGTTTCCAAAACCAGCATCCCAGATAAGGTGTGTATACCTAAAACTGGATCTTAGACAAACCTCAGTGCAACGCTGAGCAGATAACTTTAAGGGATACTTTAGTCACAGTCTAGTGAATACCAGAAGGATTGCATCCCCTCAGAAATGCGGTTGTACTGTGCATGCCTAAAACCTTTGCCTTGGTGTTTTGTTCCCTCTCTCCAGTCCCACCAATTTGAGATGTTTGGAAAAAGTCCTTTCACCTGGGTTTCTCAAGAGCTTCTTGATTGAATAATGCTGGGATGTGTGTATGAACTGATACTTTGGTTTCTGTTATCTTCCTGAATAAGTGTTATTTTTGGTAGATTATGCATAAATGAGTTCCTTCAGTTAAAAATAAGCTCACCATCAGTTCTTTCAAGGATTTCAAAACCTGAGAATTTTCTGTTTGCCCTGTAGAGAAAGTTTTAGGTTCCATATACTGGATAGGCAAGTCTGCTTGTGTATGTCCTGACTTGGCTGCTAGGGGTTTCTGAAGACTGAGGCCTCTGCCTAGCTTTTCCTATTAGCTGGCTATGCACAACTTTCTATCTGATATGTAGATGAATCATATAAGAAAATTGTCTTGTGGGGGACAATAGCTCTGGTTTTGGGAGAGCCTGGAAAATAACTTGTAGGCCATTGAACAAACTTCCATATTACTTTTAAAATTATCTGAATGGTGTTTCTCAGAGAATTGTTTCAAGACTTGAATATATTTTCAGTTTAAGTGATATACAGTAATGTGATTTTTTTTTTTTCTTGTTAAACTTTATGTAAACTACTATGTTTTCTCTAAGTAAGTTAGGAAAAGAGCTACAGATTCCACAGAATACTGTTAACTTTGTAGCTAGAAAGGAGCAGCGGGAAAAGAAATATGTTTATTAAAATTCACTAAATTCGGTCTGATTAAGTAAGAATTAACATTGGGACAGCAAGCAATCATAGAAGATGAACTGCAGAGTTTGTCAGAGGGTCATGAAAAAAGCCAGTGCTGAATGAAATGGTTTCTAGCAGCTTTCTTAATGGACCTGAAGTCTAGCTCTGTTCATCAAGGACAGGAAGATGCTTATTTTTGAAGCATTGTTGAGCTGATGTTGCTGTAAACCCCTTAACTCTTGAAATGCTGACCTTTAAAGGGTAAACCTAACATCAGACTTCTAAAGCAGTCAGTCTCTTTCAAGCCCTTTAACTTGAAAACACCTACAGGATTAACTGTTAAGAGATATCAAACTTATGCTGAGAAACAGCCCAAATTATTTTAAAATCAAATGAAGGGGTTTTTTTTGAGCATATAAGCAATTATACCACCTCAATGCACTTATTTCCCAAATTCATACAGTAGAGGCACACTACTAACTAGTTCAGTTCATTCGAAGATTTTATTGATACTGAATGCCAAAACTGTCAACTTGATAGGAAATGGTGCCTGCATCCCACTCCTGTTAACTCTTGGAATGCCTCTACTTGGAAGGGTTGCTTTTGTCAGTCAGTGTGTACTACATTCTCTTGAGATACCGTCTCCCTGGGTTACATCTTGTCCAAACAAGCCTTAAGGTCCTCCTCCTGGGTATAGACTGGAAAATGTTGTCAGTGAAGAAGTGCCACAAAATAAATCCTACCTGAGAATGTTTTTCTTGTTGTGTATCTCATTGCTGAAATGTAGGAAGTACATTTCTGAAGTGCTGCTTTAACTGAAAGATCCTTTCACTTTACCCATCTCAAGGAAGCTGATTTGGTGAATGAACTGCATGTGCTCTTTGAATATTGTCCCACCATCTTCCTGCAAGTTAATCTCTTGAATATTCCACTTGAAAAGTCAGACTACTGAGGTCCTAGGATATAATGTTACTATGTCCCTGCATTTTTGTCATCTTTCTCAGAAATTAAGGTAATTGGAAAAGAGGGGGAATGGGAAGATTTATCTTTAACCTCTGAGTAATCAGGATTTAGGAAGTTGCTTGCTTTTAAACCTTACTGGCACGATACAGCAAGGTGTTTATAAACTGCATATTTAATATTACTCTGGCTAAGTTTGCAAAAATTGCCACTGCCATGTTCAATAGTTTTGAAAAAAAGAGTTGTAATCTCAAAGTCACCTTTACTTATCACACCTCTAACATAATTTATAACCTCAGAGGATCTACTCACTTTCTAGAAACAGCAAGGTATGAATATATAATGTTCACAAAGAAGTCAATAACCCTTTCCGTTGAAAGG